AGTGCAGTAGTTTGACTCAGCCGATCCAACATCTGGATCGGCTGAGCCGAACCTCCAGCAGGCTACTCGCTGCCGTTCGGCCTATTCTCATGGATGCCGAACAGCAGTGAGGGAATAGCCGAGTGCCGCCGAGGGGCATTCGGCTCGGCTATGCTGCTCGGTACCTCCGTGGTATTGAGCAGAACAGAAAAACAGTCAAAAAATAGAAAACGTTTGGGCGGAGCTAGCAGTGACAGCTAGCTCCGCCCAACTGTTTTCTATTGGCCGGGAACAGCTGTCATTACAATGAGAGCTTGTCAGATATGAAAGCCGGCTCTGCCGAGCTCTCATCCTAATGACACATGGGCGTACGTGGTTAGCTGGTAACCAGGGACGCCGATCTGTCTCTGCGAGTGGCCGGAGCCAGCCGTGAGATGACGGCTGGCTCCGCCCAGCTGCCAGCAGCAGGCTGTCGGCCCGCCCATGGGCGGCCGTAGCTCGACTGAGCCCCTCGGCCGACTTCGGGAGCTGTACGGGCTACTAACCTACTGAGCCGAAGGGGTCCTGGGGCCGAAGCTGCAGCTAGATCCTTCGGCAGCTGTCAGCCTCTCATAACCTCCTGCACAGCAGCACTCAGACTAGGAGAGGGGGCAGTGTAAGGAACCAGTTAGGTATGTTGCAGTGCAGGGGCATCGCAAGGCCGGGTGTCACCCGCCGTGACGTCATCGCCCATGTGCGGCCATCTTTGTGATACCTGCTGGCGGCCATCTTGGTGATGGATACCAGCAGACAGACCAGCAGACCTCCTCTCTCCTGACACTGTCGGGCTTTCGGACCATGAGCGAGTGCCTCACTTTTCAGAGGGGGTGACACCAAAATGACTGTGTCAACCCCCCCCCCCCCAGTCATTATGGTGTCACCCCCTCTATTGGTGTCACCCGGGTGCGGGCCACACCCCCCGCACCCCACTTGTGACACCACTGTTGCAGTGGCCATGTGATGAAACGGAACATGATGATAGGAAGAACTCATTCGTCTGCTGCTGGTCCTTCACTGTCCAGTCACAGGCCGGGGGCGGGGAGGAGGAGGGGGTGTTCCTAGGCAGATTATGTTTGCATGCAGACCGCCCTAGGTAACGCCCACATGTGATGCTAAGCCTCCATGATTGACAGAACTGAAATCCAATGAATAAAAGGGGGTGTGGCCAGGCAGGAAATGAGGCGGGCTCTGTATGACTTGCCGCAGCTTCTACTGCACATTGTGAGAAGCTCCCGGTGTGCAGTGATATCAGAGAGTGGAGCCGCTACAACTATATTACTCCGTGTGTTACTCCCTGTATGACTCCAATATTACTCCATGTATGACTCCAATATTACTCCCTGTATGACTCCAATATTACTCCCTGTATGACTCCAATATTACTCCATATATGACTCCAATATTACTCCCTGTATGACTTCAATATTACTCCATGTATGACTCCAATATTACTCCCTGTATGACTCCAATATTACTCCCTGTATGACTCCCTGTATGACTCCAATATGACTCCCTGTATGACTCCAATATGACTCCCTGTATGACTCCAATATTACTCCCTGTATGACTCCAATATTACTCCCTGTATGACTCCAATATTACTCCAT